ATGAATTTTAGACATATTATATTTGTATTTTTCTTTTAGTTAGAAGCTATAATTATATACAAGTGTCAAAAACAATATGTACAAGAGAAATTATATCATTTTATTTAGTAAATTAGCATATTTTAATTTTAAAATTATCTACTTTTTATTGCACTTGGAATGATAATAATAATAAAATTTTAAAATGTAGCATTCTATTTTAGTCATACATGTTGGGTATGGATGAAACTAGGAATAAGGTATTATAATTGTGGTATCAGAGCCTAGGTCATGAGTACAATAGACTATCTATCTAGAGAAGCATGGGATGCACTATGCAACTATCCTATAAGTCTTAATAATTGAGTTACATTAATTTTTTTATTATTATTTGATGCTCTTATACTTGACAACTAGGGCATGAACAACTTGGGATTACTTAGAAAGATATCATAAAAATCAAAGGACACACTAGTAGCTTTAGTAATATTCGAGAGAAGACTTCCGATGGTCGAGAGGCAGAATATTATAGAGATGTAATAATTAAGAGGCTAACAGAGTTAGTAGAGAAACAATCTCAATAATTAGAGTAGTTATTGGCTCGAGGAAAAAAGGTGATGCTAGTAGGAGCTTGAGGACATAATATTATGTAATTAGTAAGTGAGAGTTTAGAAAAAATAATCCACCAATGGTGATACAAATTCACTAATGACTGAAGAGTGGATAAGAAACACTGAAAGAACCTTTGAGTATGCAAGGATTTTATATGAAGATGAAGTTATTTGTATAACTTATTTGCCATGAAAAAATGTTCGTTATTAGTGGGATGCAAGAAAGGGGACCGTAAATACAAAACAAATAAAATGGGAAAGATTCAGGGAGATCTTTTACCAAAAGTATTTCAATCCAACCTACCGATCAACCAAAATGATAGAATTTGTTAACCTCAAGTAAGAAGATCAATCTGTGATGGATTACATCAGAAAGTTTGAGGATTTGTAGCTCATATTATTAGTACTGATGTCTTGAGGGTGAATCAATTTTTACAATGACTCAGAGTAGAAATTTATTATGATCTTAAGACTACGATAAATGTCCTAAATATTCCCTATACTTGATAGCAAAAAAGACTTTGGAGGTAGAGAAGGCCGAGCAAATAACTTTTTAAACCCAACAAACACACCACAACCATAATATATAAATGAAAGATATTATTTTTGAAAACAGAACCCCACAACAAAATCTAGGAAGTAAAATAAAATGGCACTCAAGTTAAGGACAACAATTGGAGCAACTCAAACTCTTTACATAAGAAAAAATTTATCAGATGTCTCAGTTTTTTTAGCTAGCTCATGCATAAAGACCCATGTGCCCTGAATGCATAAAATATCATATGAGATAATGTCTTAAAAGTAAAGGGCTATATTTTCAATGTGGAAAGCCAGAACATTTAATAAGAAACTATATAACAATCTCATCAAAATAGTAAAGAGTACCAAGCAGTGATGTCCAAGATAGAAGCAAAGGCTAGTCCCTTAATGATCTTAAGTGAGATTTATTTATAATATTTCCTTATATGCATTAATTGATTCCAATACCATATATTCTTTTTACGTTACTAACTTGCATAGAGAAATTAGGTAAACCATCTAAAGTATTGGATGTGATGTATTATATAGTTATTCCATTTGGGGATATAATATGTTCATGTTACTGAGTGATTACTCATTATATGTCCTATTTTATAAATAAAGATACTAGTACAGTACCCAAGTGATTGGATTGGGAAGTGAGCATGTGCAAGCCCATAGTAATGCATGTATGGACAATGACCTATGAGTATTATTATATATATAAATTTTGGACATGTTATATTTTTTTTTTTGTTAAAGGTTATAATTATATACAAATATCAAAAATAACATATATATGGGAAACTGTACCATTTTATTTAGTAAGTTAGCATGTTTTAATTTTAAATTATCTATTTTTCGTTGCACTCCTAATGATAGTAATAAGGAAAATTTAAAATATGGCATCCTACTTTAGTCATGCATGTAGGGTTTAGGTGAAACTAGGAGTAGGGTGTTACAAGGATTCACGATCAATCTCTCAATGATAGTCTATTGTCTTTCACTATCCTCTCAACCACGCTATCAACACTGAAGATCGAGAAAAGAACTCAAGTAAGGAAGAGATCGCCCTCTTTTGCACATCTAAGAACAGATCCGTCCTTATGCACTTCTCAGCTCTGATATCCACCAATAGATCAAATCTCCACTATTTGTAGATCAAAATTAGATCATAAATTATTTTGGATTTCTCTTATTGGGTCATAACATCTTCTCATCATGTCTTCATCCTCTACATCTAATGCTCTAATTATAGTTTCCTTAGGAAAAAAAAGTTCATCTTAACCTACAGGACTTATATCTTTTAATACAGTAAGTCTAATTCTCTTTAAGCTCTCCAAAGATAGCAACTATATATTTTGATGAGCATAATTCACCAATCTCTTCTTTGGATATAATCTATTAAGCTACATCGATGGCTCTCTTAGTTGTATACTAGAAAAAATCCAAATATTAAGAGAACTTATCATAATGGCAAATCCTGATAATAACTTATGACTATGATAAGATCATCTTATTTTACAAGTCATTCAAGTATCAATCACTAGCTCTAAAGTACCACTAATCTCTTCTAGTACTATAGCAAAACATTATTCAAGTTATAAACCTCTCTCGTCAATCGGTCTCGCACTTACATACTAAGCCTTTTATATACTCTGATAAAAACAACATAAGAGAATAATATTATTGTTGATTATATACAAAATCTAAAAGTTATTATATATGATTTGAATAATAGGTCATCTCTTGAATAACGAAGAAGTCATTGTTTATGCTCTCAATAACTTAGGAGACGAATATAAGAAACTAGTGATCATAATTCGAGCACATGACTTACCAATGTTATTCGAAGAATTATATAACAGTTAATTGATTATAAAACATATCTGAAATAAAAAGAGAGGAAGACGAGACTAACTATAGCTCAATTTAATAAAAAATTTAAAAGAAAGGACAATCAAAGGAATAAAAACATTAATAAAGAATCGAACAAGATGACTCTTAAATACATAGGCAATATACAAAGCTATAATCCTTCGTTACACTATCAACTCTCCAATCATGGTGGTAACTTCAACACAAACAACTCAAAAAATAATTTCAACTATAACTATTAGTAGTTCTATTATCTCGAAAATGATAGTCAGTAAAAAGTCATATGCCAACTTTGTGATAAAATTGGACACAACAAAGATTTATCGATCTTAAACCAAGCTTGCTACTACACTTAACTAGCCTCAAGCAAACATCATGACTACTTCGATTGCTTATCCAAGCAATTATATTATTAGCTCTAGTGCTTCCCATTATATCATTTTTGATTTACAAAATTTATTCATCCACACCGACTATGGAGATAATAAAAATATCATCATTGATGATGATAATAGAATCTTTATAACTCATACTAGTTCCATAATTAGTAATTCATATACAAACACATTTATACTTGATGATATTTTTTGTGACTTCACATTAAAAGGAATCTTATTTCTATTTCTCAATTATATAAATAAAATAACACCTTTATTAAGTTCTTTTCAGACTCACTTTTGTAAAAGAACTAAGCATGAGGGCAACTTTGGTCCGAGACTAGAATAAAAATAATTAAATCGCTCTTGTTTCAATTGTTGCTCCAATCAATGTCTTGTATTGTCGTCTTAGTTATTTGTCATCATTCATTCAATAATAACTAATTTCTCGTTACTCTCTTTCAACTTTGAAATAAAGTAAAATTATAACTTATTGTGATGCTTACCTTAGTGAAAAAAGTCATAGAGTATCTTTTGGAACATCTTCGCTCTAAACCATTTGAAATCATTTACACTAATATCTAAGGCTCTGCCATAATCATTTCCTTTAATAATTTTAGATTTTATATTATTTTTATAAATTATTCACTAAATACACATGATTATATCCTCTCAAATATAAATATGAAATTATCATAATTTTTACTCATTTTAGAAAGGTGGTCAAGAACTTCTTCAAATCCACCATTAAAATAGTGTACTCTGATAGAGGAGGTAAATGAATACCAAGCTCTAATAACTTGTCTCTTATCATGTGTCATACAATATCTCAAGTCACCACCACACATTTCTCAACTAGTTAGTTCTGTCGAACGAAATCACTAACACATAATTCAAACTAATCTTACCCTCCTACACTAAGACTTTATATCACTAACTTTTTGGTCATTAGTCTTTCAAACTATATTTACTTCATTAGTCGCGTGCTCATCCCAATCCTACAATATTAATCACTATTTGAAAAACTATTTCATAAAACCACACTCTTTCAAAAACTTAAAGTACTTGATTATTTATGTTATCCCTATCTACGTCCCAATGCTTCACACAAATTAATACTAAGATCCAAGTCTTGCATCTTCATTAGATGTTCCCTTGAGCATAATGTTTTTCGATGCTATAATCTTCAAACTTTAGTAATGCGAGCCACTACAACAATTATCCATCATTGGGTTCATATGACTACACCTCAAACCCTATCAAAGACACCTCTCACCACATCAATTAGTAACTAGTAGTTCTCCTTTAAACATGTACTTCTTTATTACTCTTATTTAGCAGCGCCTCATCTCCTCTGTAAATTCTCCATCTATCTCTTCACTAACTCACTCTACAATATTCAATGAAACAACGCCATCAGCACCACAAATGATGTCTTTATCCTTTCCCGAACCAAGTGGCACTAAAATACATCAATGTGATCAGGTACATATCACTAACTCTTCACTAATTTACATACATTCAACATAACTCAATAATACAATCGAGCTTACACATTATATGATAACATACTCCAAAAATAATATATTTAAATAACATAAAATCTTTTATTTTCATACTATAAAAAACTTTCCACCTGAGCCTACTGAACCCACAATCATCATCGAAGCCCAAAAATCTCCATATTAACACCAAGTCATGTGTGAGGAATATAATACCCTACTCTATAATGCCATATGAATTCTTGTACTATCTCACCTCATGTAAAATATTATCGAGTGTAAATAGATATTTTAAATTAAGCGAAGCCCAAAAGAATCCATTGCTAAATATAAAGCATATTTAGTGGCCAAAGGGTTTCACCAAACATAAGATATTAATTTCATGGAGACCTTCAGTCTAGTTGTTAAATCGATAATATTTGAACAAATTCTAAGTTTGACTATCACTCAATGTTGACATATACGACAACAACGTGTTAGCAATACTTTTTAACACAGGACCTTAGCTAAAGATGTCTCTATGCAACAACTCTCTGGTTTCATCCATCATTAGTATCCAAACCATGTTTGTAAACTACAAAAAGCTATTTATGGACTTTGTCAAGCTCTAGGAGCTTGACATATCGAACTTGACTTATTTTTTATATCAATCGAGTTCGTTAACTTTAAGTTACATACATATTTATTTCTACAACGATAAAATGGATGTACTATATACTTACTAATCCTTTGGATGATATTATCTTCATGGACGATAATTTCATATACATCAAGTAATTTTTTAAGTAATTTACATATTCATTATTCAAGAAGAACCTTAAAATTAAATTTTTTTTTAGAGTAAAAGTAATGTTCATACTTTTACCATTTATCATCATCTTCAATCACTTATGCCCTCGTTACAGCAATAGACAGAACAACCTGATCAACATTATTATTTGTTGTAAATGGACATACAAATAAACAAGTACCTCTTTCTTGTTTTCATGACGAGCATGCATGAAACGTTGTACTCGGACATTATTATTGGACTCTTTGAAGGATACGAAGAACTACACTTACACTGCTGCTGGTTCAGGCGCAGCCCTTCATCTCTTCCAGGAACGCCTGCATGTGCTCCTTCTCGACGCAATGCGTCATCACCCGAGTCCCCTTTTGCGGCGCCGGCGGCGCCCCGATGATGCCGATCGCCATGATATCCAAGTACGCGAACGGTATAACGTGGAGGGGCTTGCCCCAGCCGAAGTCTACGTCGAGGAGGCCCAGCCGGGTCCAGTCCGTCACGAACAGCGAGCTGTACGTGAAGCTGAACTCGTAGGGGTCGTCTTTGAAGTCCCCGGCGGCCCACTTGGCGAACTCGTCCGGCAGCCTCGCCTTGGCGTCCCTGATGATGCTGATGACGTCGATGAGCTCGGCCGAAGCGATCCTGCCGCTTGAGGCGGTGGTAGTCATTGGGTAGATGCAGTTGCCGTAATAGCCACCCTCGGGGGGCAGGACCTGGCGCAACAGGTGGCGGGTGTTGGCGAAGAAGCACACGTGCACGTCGACGCCGGGGTCCAGGTTGATGGCGCGCGTTCGGGACTGCCACAGGTTGGAGACGGCGACGTCGAAGGTGGAGCAGCGCTGGCCAGTGAGCTCCAAGTGCCGGGCCTTGACGTGATTTATATGGTCAGCGGACAGGTCGACGGTGGCGTCGAGCAGCTTGAAGGAGGGGAACACGGGCGGGCCACCGGGAGGCAGCTTAGGTGGGTTGGGTATGACCTCCCGGGACCATGCAGGCTCCACGGTGGGATTCGGCAGGCCGCGGGCGATCTCGGCGACGGCGTTGAGGAACTGTGCCAAGCCGATGCCGTCGGCGATGGTGTGGACGAAGATGAGGCCGACCACGAATCCGCCGCCCGCGAACTCTGTCACCTGAGAGAGCAGAGGAGTGCAGTCTTGTTTTGGTAA